TATGCATACACGGATTGTTGGGTGCTTGTAGGGTTTGATGGCGTAGAACCCTGACCGAGGGCCTTTGGGGCACAAGGTTCTTTAGCATTTGGGCTTACTTAGTTAAATGGCTCCAGGGTGTGTTAGTCTTTGTGAAGGGTTTCTGGAGCAACCTGAACCGACCTTGCAGGATCTTAAGCCCTTAACTCTCGAAGGACCGCACCGGCCCGGCGAACTCGGGCTCCTTTATCGAGGACTGCGCGGCAGAGGGGCAACCATTGGTTTCTAAGGGGTTTAGGGTGGTTGTTGTTTCTCCGGGATTTTGAGGGTCTATACTTGAAGGTTCAGGGGTAGCTGTAAGTAGGGTGATATGTGTGGTAAAAAAATACTTATACGACCCTATTTTAGATACTTATAACCCTACCTATAGGTACCCATGAACCCTCCAAGTAGGGGCTTCAGGGCCGGTCTAAAGCATGGCCCCATATTGCACCCCCAAAATGGCGGCGTCGCAGGACATGGAGTTCCGCACCAACATCCCTGGCGTTCCGCAGCCGCAGGCGCAGGCGAGGAAGTGAGGGGTTGGTCCCTACATTGTGGGGCCCTTCTGAGAGGCTCGAACGAAGACTGAAGTGAGGGCGCAGCAGCTTCGATTGTGCTTCTTCACCCTGAACCCGGACTTCTGATAGAGTCGCCGGGGCTAACATAGGGTCTCCCAGCGGGCCCTGTTCCCTTTGTTGGGATCCTGGGGTGGATTCCTTAGAAAGCGACAGAAAAAGGGAGCCCTTTTGCAGAATCGCAGGGAGGCGATGGGGGAATTGTTCCATCAATATTCAGACTGTGAGGTTCACTTAGTTGACTTAGTTGTAGAGTAGGTAACCTTTAGGTGAACCTTTACTTCCCCTGGGTACCGGGCAACTACCCAAAGAGCACAATACCCCTTAACTAAGGAACGTACCTGAATTTATAAATCGGGATCCCTATCATATGACTTAAGGAATATTCTCCTTAATGAAGTGGCTGTTTGGGCTTTTTGGCTCATCGATTCCATCAGGCGCCAAGGACGGCGGGCGCCGCCAGCGGCGCTTCTAGCGCAGCGGATTTCGTGGCCCCGCCGGTTGTGTGCCTGGAGCTCTGGGGAGATCAGGCCGGGTGTAGGGTTTAGGGTTTAGGGTTTAGGGTTTAGGGTTTAGGGTTTAGGGTTTAGGGTTTAGGGTTTAGGGTTTAGGGTCAACCTTAGAAGCCCTATAAGACCTTAAAGCGGCGCTCTGAAGCTCTGAGCCCTGTACAAACCTAAACAGGAAGCTCGAAGACTGCTAGGGTTTAGGTAGGGTTTAGGTGCAGCAAGTCCCTAAAGTCCCTGTGAAGTCCCTGAAGTCCCTACAGTCCCTAAGTCCCTACCTAAGCCTACACCCTAAACCCCTAAACCCTAAACCGCAAACCCTAAACCCTAAACCCTAAACCCTAAACCCCAAACCCTAGACCCTAATCTTACTCACCCTAAACCCTAAACACCCTGAAGTCCCCAAATTTTGGGACCCCCTCAGGTGGCGAACGCGGCCATGGAGCGGCGGAGTATCGGCCCGGTCTCCTTGGCCGGGAAGCCGCACCCCGGCAGACACACTGGGGAAGGGAGAAGAGGAGAGGGGGGAGGTGGGGGGGGGGGGGGGGGTGGGTTTACTTAGTTTGATTAGGGTTTGGGGGTTTAGGGTTCAGGGTTTGGAGGGGTTTTGGGGGGGTTTGGGGGTTTAGGGTTTGGGTCTTGGGTTTCAGTGTTTGGGGTCAAGGGTATTTTGGGAGGTTTTGGGACTTGGGGAGGCCCCTAACCTTAAACCCCAAACCCCAAACCCTACTAAACCCCCAAACCCTAAACCCTAAACCCTAAACCCTAAACCCTACACCCTAAACCTTATAAACCCTAAACCCTAAACCCTAAACCCTAAACCCTAAACCCTAAACCCTAAACCCTAAACCCTAAACCCTAAACCCTAAAAGCACCCGAGGCTCCTTGTGGGCTCCCGGCACCAACCTCACATCGCCAACGACGCGGCCCTGACGCTTGGCCAAAGTGGCCAAAGCTCAACTCTGGCTTTGGTTCAGGGTTTAGGGTATGGGGTTGTGGAGTCATGGGGTGCAGGGTTTAGGGTTGTAGGGTTATAGGGGTTACTTATAGGGTTATAGGGCTATAGAATTTAGGGTTGTAGGGCTGTAGAGTTTAGGGTTATAGGGTCATAGGGTCATAGGGTTTAGGGTTTGGGGTTTGGGGTTTGGGGGTTTAATTTAGTGTTTGGGGCTTTGGGCTTACGTTTTTTGTTAGGGTCAGCAACCCCTCTAGCCCGAGAAGCGTCAGCCCAGCAAAAGGCCCGAAGCCCTGCAGCTTGTCGGCTTGTATACCACTATTAGTCTGGCATTTATACTCGAGGATCCTATCTCAACGTAAACCTTACAAGCCCCAAGCCCAGGAAAGGATTCACGAACATCGTGGACCGCGACCATTTCTGCATCGCCTCAGAAGGCGGCGTCTTCTGGCTCCTATGCCTCACGAGCCGCCGGGCTGCAGTTTAGGGTTATCGGATGCTTGCGTTTTTCTTTGGTAGAGCCTAAACCCTAACCCCAAACCTGAACCCAAAACCCTGAACCCTAAACCCCGAACCCCAAACCCTAAACCCCAAACCCTAAACCCTAAACCCTAAACCTTTTGCTGGACCCTCAAGCAGCAAGGCAAGGGTCTTTGGCGCGTCCGCGAGGGGGTGGAGCCGCAGCGACTCATCCTCGACGCTTGGGGCTCCCAACCAGAAAGCTGAAGCAGAAGGTTGAGGTTTGGGGTTTGGGTATAGAGGGTTTGGGGTTTAGGGTTTAGGGTTTAGGGAAACCCCCCTACATCACTCACAATGTCCGGGGGTTTAGGGGCTGTCGGAAGTTTTCCGGTAGGAGTTCAGAGTTTAAGGCTTTCTGGCCTTAGATTCCAAAAATCTAATCAGCCCTCAAGCCTTTCGGCCTAAACCCTGTAGCCCTAAACCCTAAGCCTTCAGATCCCGCATGTGGGCCTAAACCCTAAACCCCGCAGCCTTAAACCCTATGGTAGCCCTAAACCCTAAACCCTAAATACCCTAAAACCCTAAACCCTAAGCCCTAAACCCTAAACCCTACACCCTAAGGCCCCTACCCCAAACCCCCAACCCTAAACCCTACACCCTAAACCCCAAACCTTCAGATCCCAGAAGTGCCACAGATCGGCCCAGGACGATCTCGCCTCGCTGCAGCACGGCGACGTGGTGGCGCCCCGTGCTGGGTTTCTTAGGATCCCTAAACACGGGTTTAGGGTTTAGGGTTTAGGGTTTAGGGTTCAGGGTTTAGGCTTCTTAGGATCCCTAAACACAGGTTGTGGGGTTGTAGGGTTGTATAGGGTTCATGGGCTTGTAGGGCCTGGGTTGAAGGTTTAGGGTTTGGGGTTTAGGGTTTAGGGTTTACAGCCCTTTCCCCTGCACCTGATGAACCCTAGACCCTGCAAGTCCCAAACAACAAAGCTTTAAGATCCTGTAAGCCTGGGATGTTCCTCTTATACTATCAGTCCTTAGTCTAGGCTAGAATCCCTAAAACCCCAAACCCTAAACCCTTAACCCTTAACCCTAAACCCTTAACCCTAAACCCTAAACCCTAAGCCCTAAATCCTAAACCCTAAACCCTAAACCCTAACCCCTATAAGCCCTAAGCCCTAAACGCCAACTCGAGGTGCCACGGCTTGGGCAAGAAATCAGCGTGGAGCAGCGCCCGGGCTGGGTGTAGTAGAGTTCATGAACTTGATAGGTTTAGGGTTTAGGGTTTCGGGTCTCGGATTTTGGGTTTTCGGTTTTGGGGTCCTGTTTGCAAACAGGGAACCTAATTGAGAGAACTACCTATATAGAGTTCATGAACCTCACAGGGTTCAGAGGGCTCACAGGAGGATCACCCAACAGCTGCAGTATGTCGATTGTGTCTCTTCTGAGTGGAGGCTCTTGGGATTTAGGGGGTCTAGGGGTTTCGGGGTTTAAGGAGGCTTAATATCGTTCGGACCTACAGGGCGCAGCTCCGTCGCATGTTGGGAAGGTGCTGCCGCACCCTCTCCTGGCGCTTCATGGTCCTCATGGAGTCCAGCTGAGCACTGCAGGGGTCTCCCACCCCGAGAAAAAAGCAGCGCAGTAAATGTTGGGTCAGGCCCACCCCTCGTTCATGGGCCCCGCCTCCCCTGAAGCTTAAGGCTTAATTTAGGGCATTTAGCTTAATTTAGGGCATTTAGAGGGAAAACTAAGGTTTAGGGGGAGCTTGTTTAGGGTTTAGGATTTGGGGTATTTAGGTTTTTTGTTTGTAGGACCTTGCCGTGTGAATGAATGGGGGGCTTTGACCGAAAAGTATTATGATGGTAAGACCCGCAGGAATCGAGAGCAGACGTCTCACCATGCTGGCATTCTTCGTTTATGGTGCGAATCACCGGGCGCCAAAGGCAGTCCGAAACCTCGGGGCTCTCCACGAAGTGTTCCCTCAGCACTTCGGTCGGGGCCCCGTGACCCAAAGTCCGTTTAATTGCGTGCAAGTTGGATAGGCCGTGCACAGGCATGCATGCAGGTAGCTTCCAGGGACGCGAGCCGATGTTCCTTCATGTCACGACTATAGGGCCTTATTTACCTCGATGCTGACAGAGATTTTTGTTATCTGCGGACCTGGCATGGTAAGCCAATGGATGCTAGAGAGGGCCATCGACCTATCGATCGAGGTCCTGCCCAGAAAATTCGCTCCACCGCGTAGTGGGCAATTCGTCATCGAACGCTTTGCTTTCAGTGCTCGGAGAAGACAGAAACTCCAGCATATCTCTGTCACTTCAGGACTATCTCCCTCCAAAACTAAATCAGTGTTAGGAATCCTTTTTCTTTTTGGGTTCTGGGCTTTCATATATAAACAAAAAGGATCCTTTTTTCTTCCCTAGGGGAACAGGGATTAAGAAAGCACCACCTATTGAAATATGGAAAGCCCGCATGGCTTTCCAGGGGCCCTCCGACACCAAAGCCGTGTCGGTCAACGTCGGCTACAAGGCGGGTTCGGTCTTCGGGCTTGAAGGAGTTCTACGTCGGACCCATTCCCTTTCATTAGGGTTTAGGTTGCCTTCTAATCCCCTTTAAACCAAAAAGGGCACCCTTTGTTATCCCTAGGTTGCTCCTGGGTCTAGAGTACAACTCCCGAAAGCAAGCCTCCAACCTTAAAACCGGCATGTCCAACTCCCTAGAAAGCCTAGGCCATCTAAAGCCCCTGGAACTCCTAAACCCCTAAGCCTCTATAACCCCTGTAACCCCTAAAGCCCTAAAGCCCTCTTCCCTCAGAAGGGGAGGGGACCTAACCCCTAAACCCTAAACCATCTAAACCATCTAAACCATCTAAACCATCTAAACCCTCTAAACCCTATAAACCCTAAAAACCCTAAAAACCCTAACCCTTAACCCTAAACCCTAAACCCTAAACCCTAAACCCTAAACCCTAAACCCTAAACCCTAAACCCTAAACCCTAAACCCTAAACCCTAAACTGCACCTCTTTGCAAGGCCCTGGGTGCGGCAGGAGCCCGGACACTGGCCAAGGCTCCCTCAATAGGGGGGGCTGGTTTGAAAGGAGTTTAGGGGGTTTTAGGGTTTAGGGTTTAGGGTTTAGGGCCTTTCAACCCAAAAAAGGGCTTAGTAGGGGCTTAGAGCCCCTTGAAAGACGGAGGGATTTGGGGGATTTTCACCCCTTCAGACCCAAAAAGGGTTTAGGGAGTTAGGGGCTCATAAGCCCCTAAACCCACAAGAAAGGTGTTTAGGACTATGAAGCCTCAGCCCTTTCGGGTCCAGGGCCTACAGGGTTTTATTGAGCCTAAGACCTGTCGGGCTTACGGCTTGAATGAAGGGGGCTTAGGGTTTAGGGTTTAGGGTTGAGGGTTGAGGGTTTAGGGTTTAGGGTTTAGGGTTTAGATCTCCCAAAACCACTGAGGGTAGTTGGCAGGCGAGGGGTTCAGCTCAGGGTTGTACATGTGCACAGGCCCTACGCTCACCAGAAATCGCAGATCTCCGCTCCCTTGGAGTCCAAAGCAACCAGCATCTACAGTCACCCCTAAGCCCATGGAACCCTAAATCGCACGGAGTAGTGGCAGGCTCTGGGTGCGCAGCTGGAGGCTGGACGCCAGTCATTTTAGAGAAGACGCAGAACAGGGATGGGGGATTTTTGCTGGTGGAGGTGCTTGCTTGGGTCTATGGGGTTTAGGGTTTGCGGATTTCGGGTAGTTAGGAGGGCAGGCTTAAGCACTCGTCGACATTTCATCACTTGGATATTGTTCATACTGCCAAGTACAACGAAGGGTGAAAGTCTGCTTGGCTCGGAGCTACCAGCTATCTAGCCACTCCACCTCCTGAGCTTTCAGTTCAATGTCGTGGACTCGAGGTGCACTCAATCTGGTCAAGCTTACCGCCGTCCCGCCCGGCTGGTTTGTGGAGACTGTGATTGGCGCCTTCGTCCATGTGGAGGGTTGGCAGCTGTGCCGTGACGACGTGGAGTGCGCCCCCGCAGCGGTGCGGAGGCGGATGGTCGAGCTCTGGGCCACGAGGCCTCAGGAAGCAGAGGTCTGGGTCGCACCATGCGCCAATTCTCGGAGGCGGGGCTGGTTCAAGCCTCTCCGGGTTGGGACCGGCTCGGGTGGTGGACTCGTTGCCGCTCTCTTTGCCTGGAGCTTGCGGAGTGTCTGGCAAAAGGCTGAGGCTTCCCGCTTCCAAGCCGTGAAGAGGCCGAGGCTGCAGCACGATGCCGTCCACCAGTGCGAGCAGCGTCTCGTTGCAGCCGAGGAAGCGGCAACCCGAGCTTCGTCGGAGCTACGGACAGCGCCAGAGGAGGCGACTTCGAGCTTCAAGAGGCTCGCAGGGCAACTCGATGGCCAGCTGTCGGCGGTGGAGGCGGCAGCGGAGGAGCAGTGCAAGCTGCTGATGGCACGCCTCGCCAACAAAACCCCTGTAAAGCGACGGTACCACAGCGATGGTTGCGAAAGTGCTGGCATTTCTTGCCTGTGCCATCGGTGATGATGGGGCTGTATTTGCAGAAGCTCCAGACAACTACGACGTTGCATTGGGCGAGGCAGCCTATCTTGCTGCAAGGTCACAAAAGCATCAACTTCTTGCTGGGTACCCACCTGAACGCAAGGGACGACGAGGAAATTGCGGAGCTTACCGAAATTTTCAGTGAACTCACTGCCGGGTCGGACACCACGAGCCGAGTTGAAGCGCTCAGTGCCGGCGTTCCTCTCGGACGAGGTGCCATGTTTTCGCCCTGACACAGTCGAGCAGTGCATCGAGCTCGCGAACCTCGAGCAAAAGGAGGTGGCAACAAGGGTTCCGGTTTAGAGCGGCAGAAGCAAAGGCAGAGGAAACGGAAGCGGCCAAGACGCTCGAGTTCCAATCTCCGCAAAAGGAGAGCGCCAAGCTGAAGCAGCAGCTGGCAGTGGCGGAAGAAAAGGCATCGAACTTGCGGAAGGGCTTCCAGGAGCTTCAAGACGAGCATGGTAGGTGCAAGGCACGCTGCCAGCAGCCTGGCAGCGGAAGAGCGCTGTCATCAGCTGCAGCGAGAGCTACTGGAGGCAAGGCAGGAAGCTAGGCGACAGAGCATCGAGATGATGGACGACGATGTTGCCAGCTGCTCCTCATGGGTCTCTGTTCAGCATGCCACGAGCGATGAGCAGATGGAAAGCGAATCGTTGGTCAAGGAATTCCAGGACGACGTCGCATTGCCGGTGTCGAGCCACTAAATTGAGGGTGTCCCTGCAGAGCACGAGCACAAAGAGCATCGACAATTCGGATAATTTCTTGGCAGCGTTTGGTAGGTGCTGTCAGAGCACGTGTCCCTTGTTGTGTGCATCAGGTTTTGTTGTTCGTTGTCAGCTCGTTCAACCTAAAGATTCCCTGACATGGCTCACAATTATTACGTTGCCCGCGCTGAAGACCGCAGGCAGTTTCTACGTGGGGGATTCTGCAGCAGCAAAAAGATTAGCCGCATGTGCCGCATGATTCTTGTTCCGTAGCAGATGCAGCATACCTGCGTGCAGATTGTAGCAGCACGTCAAGCCAGAGCTGCTATGTTCTAAGCTGAATGTCTTGGTTTGGCAGTGCCAGTAGCGCCATAAGACAATGTGTCACTGCCATACTTACACATGGGTATTTCCAGAATAGGGGTACCCCTATATGAAGTAAGGTTTATACTACTGTTATTGGTGAGTGTAATTATGTAAGGCTCCTTTTTAATAATGGTGAGTGTATCTACCGGGTGTCCTTTTGAAGGTACAAGGAATATATGCCCTACTTCATATACCCCCCCCCCCCCCCCCGATTTTGCATATTTCCCTGCATAAGGACCCCCCAAAACAGGTACCCTGATTCTCGGAAACCCCCACATGTAAGTAACAGCATCCGCATCTCGTCATGTTCGACTCCCTCCAGTCGGCTTTGCAAGTCCTTGCTCTATGCCCGCTTTCTCAGACAGTCAATTGAACTCATCTCACCCTCCAGGAGACTTCAACCAGCCCAAAACTTCCGAAACCTCCTCCTTCATTGGCGCCTAAATCTTGAAACAGGCTATTCTTGCTGAGTATGAGGAAGTTAGAGTTAGCGTCCCCAGTACCTCACTAGGGTTCTACAGGGTACTAAGGAATTTTAGGGTCCCCATATCATCCGTTAAAGGGTAACATGGGGTGCTGCAGGATGCTGCAAGTATTGCTACAGCCGCGCGAAGGCTTTGGAAGTCGACATCTCTGGCAACGGCATCGGCGTGGAGGGTGCCAAGGACACACTTCTCGACGCACAGCTGTGCGAGCCTAGGGTTTTTACGAGGGCACGCTGGATAGGTTTATAAGAAGGCAGGGATGTACAAGCTATGAATTAATGTTACAAGGTGCCCTAGGCGAGTTTAGAACCATGATTTGCCATACTAAAACCTGCAAGGCCTTCAAGTAGCTAGGAGTCCACAAGTCTCAAGGGTCCCAAGACCCCCCGAAAGATCTTTCAGGTTGGAGTTCTGGCTCGATGCAACTTTGGTCCCAAGCAGTCGCCGCATCTGTCATTCATGATCTGGTAACACAACAGCTTCATCAAGCTTACTATACCCAAGACCTCCAAGCCTCTGAAAGCAGCGCCGCCATGATCAGAGATCCTACTTCCAGCAACCTCCCTCTAAGCACCAAACCCCTCAATCCCAAATCCGATTCAGCCCTCAACCCTCAACCCTAAACCCTCAACCCTCAACCCTAAACTCTCACCCCTAAACCCTAAACCCTAAAACCCTACAACCCTAAACCCTACAAGACGTCCCTGCGCGAGGCCCTGGCCGCCAGCTTGCCCAAAGGTCTCAAGGCCCTTCAGCGGGTATGGGGCGGGGATGGTTCCGACAACTTGCTGCTGCCGGGCTCCGAAATCCGAATGTCACAATGATTGGCGGCTTTAGCCCCAAGCTGGAAACCCTAAACCCTGAACCATGGTACACCCCTAAATCCAAAGCAATGTCCTTTGAAAGACGCGGCAGTCCGAGAAAGAACCTATAACCCTAAACCCAAACCCGAACACTGAACTTTGAAACCTAAACCTCAATCTCCGGGAACACAAAAACCTGCAACCCTAAGCACCTGGATGGTGTTCAATTCTCAGGGTAGTTTCATGGGCCCTCAATATGGTCCCTTACCTCCCTAAAAGGGTTCTGATGTTTGGGCCCTGAATTTCAGTATCGGGTATAAAAGGGGTATATAGGTATAAGGGGTAATTACCCTTTTAGGGACCCATACTAAGGGACCATACAGCTGCCCTTAGATCAACACTGAGTGGCTCGAGGCATCGCAGCAAGCTTCCTCAACTCTAAGCAGCACGAAAAGCCCTAAGTCCGACACCAGAAACCCGTAAACCCAAAAACCTAAAAGCCCTAAAGGGATTAGGGTGTAGGGTTTAGGGTTTAGGGTTTAGGGTTTACCCTAAACTCTAAACCCGAAACCCTAAACCAACCCTGAACCTAACGAGGTGCTGAAGTTGAACCTCGCGCGAAACCGCCTCATGCTCGAGGGGGCCTCTCTCTCAGACGCGAGGTAGCCCCTTCTATGGGGTTTGGGGTTTAGGGTTTAGGGCCCTGCTGTCAGACGAGAGGCACTTTGCCACCCTCAGAAACTTGGAAACAACTGCATCGGTTTAGGGTTTAGGCTTAAGGTTTAGGCCTTAGGCCGTTTGGGTATCTAGAGAACCTCTATATACAGGAAGAGCCCCAACCCCTTTTTTGGGTCGGCCTTGAAAAGGTTCTATGATAATATCGTACAATCATGGAGATCTTGCCTTCGTCTGGTGCCTTGCAGGCGAGTGCACCAGCATCCCAACCGAACCCTGGATGCCTGAGACCTCCAAAAAGCCTCCAAGCCTCAACCCGAGATAGCCCCTATCATGCCCTCAGTCCTAAACCCACCAGAGGCCTTACAGCCCCTAAACCCCAAACTCCCAGAACCCCAAACCCTAAACCCCAAACCCTAAACCCCAAACCTGAACCCCAAACCCTGCACCTTGAAACCCCGGAAACCCTCAAAGAGCCCATGAGGTGAAGGCCATCGCCGCATCCATCCCACAGGGCGTCGAGGCGTTTTCTGGGGGGCCGGGCTCGGAGTGGTTTAGCGTTTAGGGTTTAAGATTTAGGGTTTTGGGTTTTGGGTTTAGGGTTTTGGGCTTTCGGGTCTTCTCTCTTGAAAGCACAGCCCACGGGCAAACGCCCGCCGCAGGAGCTGGTCCTGGGCTTCTCCGGCATGAAGATGGGTCGGGACCTCGGTCGCGGCTCCCAGGTGGATAGGGTTTATGGTTTAGGGTTTGGGGTTTAGGGTTTAGGTTTAGGGTGTGGGGTTTGGGGTTTGGGGTTTAGGGTTTGGGGTTTGGGATTAGGGTTTCGGGGGCGCAACCTCTCACTTCTATAGCCCTGGACATGTGTGCTGCTACTTTAATTATGTGCCTGCACATAAGTAGCAGCATGTCCAGAACTTCTATGGCCCTAAATAAGGCCCGAAACCCTCATCCCTGACCCCCAAATCCCCCAACCCTAAGCCCTAAGCCCTAAGCCCTATGCACACCCCAAACCCCCCGAATACCCCGAAATTCAAGCCCCAAACTCCACAACCCCCTGAGCCCCACGCCACCTCGGGCTCGCGAGGGCCCGCGGGCGCCGCGCTGCTGGCGGCCGCCATACCTCCCAAGGCGCGTGCAGTGGCCACACAGCTCCGAGTTTGAATTTGCCTTGTATACCTTCATGGGCTCTTATACCCTATAGAAGCCCTTTAACAAGGCCCTTCATAGGGTTGGTTAGGAGGATTGCATGAGGCCTGTTTAATTGGGCTTGAGGGCTCTTAGGGTTAATGAGGGCTTGTATGGTATGAGGGTTCAGGGTTTACTTGGAGGTTTTGGGTTCAGGGTTTTTCGGTTTTCTAGTTTTGGGGTTCAGAAACACACTGAGCCGAGCCCTAAACCCTAAACCCTAAACCCTAGACCCTAAACCCTAAACCCTAAACCCTAAATCCCTCCCGACAGGTCCGCAAGTTGACCCTGGACCTGCTGGGGAACCGCATCGGCGACGAGGGGGTCGAGTCCATCTCCAAGGCCTCCAATTGTCAGAGAGCCTCAAGACACAGGGTTGGTGAGGGTTTAGGGTTTAGGGTTTAGAGTTTAGGGTTTAGGGTTTAGGGTTTAGGGTTTAGGGTTTAGGATTTGAGGCTTAGGGTTGAAATAGGCTTTACGCAGGACTCGCAGGGCTTGCAGGGGCTTATAGGGTGTCAGAGGGTTCGGATACCCTCCCCTCCCTCACCTCGGCTCTCCCGAACCAACATCCTCGCTTCTGAACCCTGTTGGCCATCTCTGCAGAAGAGTCAGGTATGCAGGCTGGGTATGCAGGATGGCGCCTGCAAGAAACCCTAAACCCTAAACCCTAAACCCTAAGCCCTAAGCCCTAAGCCCTAAGCCCTAAGCCCTAAGCCCTAAGCCCTAAGCCCTAAACCCTAAGCCCTAAGCCCTAAGCCCTAAGCCCTAAACCCTAAACCATCCTAAACCCCAAACCATCTTAAACCCTAGGCCCTGAACCCTAAACCCTCTAAACCCTCTAAACCCTCTAAACCCTCTAAACCCTCTAAACCCTCTAAACCCTATAAACCCTGTAAACCCTCTAAACCCTATAAAACCCTATAAACCCTAAACCCTTTTGGCCTGCAGAGGTGCGTAGAAGCCCGTAAGGACCTGAGCTCCAGCCCAAGCTGCGCAAGCTGCGCGCGAGGCGCTGCCCAAATCTCTGGAGTACCTCCACATCGTCCTGTCAGAGAACGGCCTCAGCAAGAGGCCTCGCGGGGCTGATATCCCGCTGGGCTTCCTCCCGGTTCCTATACTCTTACTAAATCAGTGTTAGGGATCCCTTTTACTTTTTGGGTTATGGGCGTCCTTATATATAAACAAAAAGGATCCTTTTTTCTTCCTAGGGGAACAGGGATTAAGGTCTAGTAGTCGAACTTTGTTTATTCCCAACCATCCATGCAAGCCCTGTTCCAAACCCTGTACCCAAAAGCCCTAGAAGCCTTAAGAGATGAGCCCCCCAAGTTTTAGGTCGTTTGGCTTAAGTTCTTACGTCGCCCGGCCAGGGGCTTCTTCATGATTGATCGGCAGATCGGGGACCCCCTCCACGACCGGTACCTGCCGAACCTCCAGCAGCTGGGGCCAAACCAGAACCGCTGAGCCCTACCTTGGACTCATAAAGGACCTGCAGCATTCAGAGCCCCAGAGGTAGAGCTGATGAGAGATTCTTTGCGTGTAAGCCCCGCCAAATGGAGACCGAAGGTCTGGGAGCTGAGCAAAGAAGCCCTCCAATCCTAGAAGCTTCTCGGGCCGCGTGAACTTTCCCTAAACCCCTAAAAACCTACAAGAACCCTAGAAAGACCTTGGTATAAACCCCTTAAACCGTATATACCCCCCACCCTCCCAAACCCTATATAAACCCTTGAAAAAGGACCCTTATGTAAAGCCTCACCTCCGCCCTAAAACCCGACATAAACCCTATAAAGAACCTTATATAAACCCGATAAACCTTATATAAACCCTATAAAGAACCTTATATAAACCCTATAAAGAACCTTGTATAAACCCGATAAACCTTATAGCACCCAGGCCCGAGAGCTTCATCAAGGGTGGCGAGCCGGAGCTCCGTGAGTTCAGGGAGGAGCCAGCCCTGACCTCGGCGCCGGGATTTGGGGTGTAGGGGCTTTAGAGACTTAGGGTAGGGTCTAGGGTCTAGGGTCTAGGGTTTAGGGTTTAGGCTTTGGGCTTTGGTCTTTAGGCTTTAGGGGCTTAGGGCTTAGGGCTTAGGGTTTAGGGTTATCTGGGTTTAGGGTTTAGGGTTATTAGTTATTTGGGTTTTAGGGTTTTGGGGTTTTGGGTTATTTGGGGTTGCGAGCTCAGTGTTCCTTAGGGATTGTTGGGGCTTCGTGCTTGTTCGGCTTTAGGGTTTGGGATATGTATGACCTCTACAAGGGTGTCTGGGAGTTAGAAACCCTATCAAGATAGCCCCAGTAAAATCCCGATCTGGGCGCTTTCGGTTGGAAGTTCTTGGCTACACTTGCGCACTTGGCTTGTTCATTTACGTTGCGCTGACTGGTTGCGCCGAGGATGGGACGCAGACGACGCAGATCGAGTGGCACAGAGCTATGTGAGCGGTTCGACTCTTCCAGACTCTAAAGTCGTGTGCAATCCTTGACCCAGACCCCCACTGCAACCTCTGCAACCCTGGAGTTAAGCCTTGTCAGTCCCAGTTACCCTCTACCGCCTAGCCTGTCATGGCATGCAGACAGAAACCAAGCAGCAGCAACACCCTCGTCGGTTCGGAGAGTGCCCTGGGCTTACGGGCGGTCAGGCTGCAAAAGATGCAGGCCCGCGAAGCGTTCCAAAATGAAGTCAACAAAGGACAAGGCTGATCATAGGTTGCGTCAGGCATGGGCACTGTAGTCAAGGCTGAACCAGTACCGGAAGGCTTTCTGGACCCTGTGTGTCGCGGAGATGCCCCGTCGACAACTTGGACCGAGAGTGCACTCTGCCAGCGAGCTCTCTGCAGCACTTGCCTGGGCTCCCAGATAGAACCCAGGAGCCCTTCCAAGCATTTGCTCGTGCATGCTGGACGCTGCTCGCAAGAACAGGCTGCGTGCGGCATGTCCTCCCTTACCCCACAGTGCCCCTCTCCACACCTCCACAGCCTGTGGACTCTGTAGACCGTAGGCCCCACAGCCGAAGGTCTTGTGAAGAAGGTATGTATTTATTGGCACCCTCAAGAAGATGCACACACACACACACACACAAGACATTCCGAGAGAGAGCAGCTGACCCAATGGGCATGAATGGTGTTGCCTCCGGTCCAACGACGTGCGCGCGGACGGGTGGGGAAGGTGGGGAGCCCCAAATTTTGTTGCTCTGAGACTGGAAGCCGTTCCGTGCCACAGGCTCGGGTTTGAGAGGGCTCAGGGTGTGGAACCGGGCCGCGTGACCTTCCTCGGCTGTGATTATTGCAAATGCTCACCACACGCGTGCGCAGCCCGGCTCAGGAGACAGGACTTTCCAGGAGAGAGCCCGCCCGCTCCCCGTCACTTAAAAAAAGTGCTCCTTTTCGTTCTCAAAATCGCCATATGCCTCGTCTCCTCGAGCTGACCGCGGTCCCGGCCGGCTGGCCCCTGGAGACCGTCCTCGACGCCTTCGTGCACTTGGCGTGGGGGGACTCTGCTTGGGTTCCCGGTTCGCAGCGTGCCAACGAGGCGGTGGCGGCGCGGCTGGTGGAGCTCTGGGCCGCGCGGCCGGCGGAGGCGGCGGCCTGGCGCGGTCTGAACGAGGACCGCTCCCAGGAGCGGCTCGCCGAGCTGCTCCTCCAGCACGCGCGGAGCGAGCTGAGCCGGTGCCACGTCATCTCCTTCTCGGAGGCGGGGCTGGAGCGAGTGGCTTGGAGTTGGACGTTTTGGCCGGATTGGGAGGCTCACGTCCGCTTTCGCTGCTCGGAGCTCGCTGGGCGGCTGGCAGCGGTTGAGGCGGAGGCCGAGGAGACGGCGCGGAAGCGGCAGAGATTGGAGGAGAGGGGCCAGGAGGCGCAGCTGCGGGAGGAGAAGAGGCAGCTGCGAGCGCCTGGAAGCCGCCGAAGCGGCGCTCCATTTCGTGAAGGAGGAGGTCGCCCAGCAGAAATTGCAGAACTCGCAGCTCAACGCCAGCTTGGAGGCGGCGCAGGCCGCAACTGCAGAGACGCAAGCGGAGCTCCAGGCCGCGAAGTGCGAGTGCGAGCTGCTCACGGAGCGCCTGGCGGCGGCAGAGGCTACCTTGGCGGACAAGGCGCGCGAGCTTCAAGCTGCGCAAGACGACGGTGCTGCGCAGAAGCAGCCTCGCGAGCAGCTTGCGCGTCGCGTGGAGGCGTCGGACAAGCGCGATCAGGAGCGGCGAGCGGAGAGTGCGAAGCCCCAGAGCCAGATCGAGCATCTCAGTGGCAGCTTGGAGGCGGCAACGGCAACAGCAGCACGGGAACTCCGGGCAGTGCAAGAGGAGCTCCGCGACCGGCTCTGCAAGCACTTCTCCGGAAGCAAGGCGGAGTTGCAGGCTTTGCTCGAGCCGCTCGCGTGCGCCTTGGCAGAGGGATCGTGCGGAATCAAGACGGACTTGCAAGCCTTGCTGGAGAACGCGGTGTACAAGGATCGCTGCGAGCAGCTCAAGCAACAGCTCGCAAAGGCAGAGGCGAAGCTGGGCCAGATGCAGGTGCTGTGGGAGGAGAAGGGTGTGTACAAGGAGCGCTGCCGCCAGCTGGAGCGCCAGCTTGCCGAGGCGAAGAAGCAAGCAGCCCATCGCACGGCCCTTCACACGGCTGTTGCCCACGAAGATCCTGAAGAGGCCTCCAGCAGCCGCGATTCCGACCTGACGGATCAGCTGGGGTACATCCTGGTGGATGACGCCGCATCCTCAATCTCCAGCGGCTCGTCTGGCTCGTCCTGGTTCTCTGTGCAGCCCGACTGCTTCGTCCCGGAGTCCGTCTTCAAGACCCGCGGCTGTGGCACCGACTTCTTCCTGATGGGACGGGACCTCAAGAAAGGATCGCAGGTGGTGGCCGGCGACGACGAGACCATCTTGGAGGTCTGCGAAGTTCCGGAGGTCTGCCGCGCCACGGAGCTCGTCCACTTGCAGGCCGGAGCTGCGACATTGAGGGTGACGAAAGACCACCCCGTGCAGGTGCCGGAGGACCAGGAGGACAAGGAGTATGAGGGGGACGCGGACAAGGAGGAGATCGGCGTTGGTAGTTGCAAGTTCGTCCCGGCTGGCTCCCTGAAGACGGGCGACTTGGTGATGTTGGATTCGGGAGAGCCCGCGGCCCTCACGAGTGTCGACGTTCAGCCCGTGGAGTGCGACGTGCTGAAGCTTGCTTTCCGGCCGAACATGGCCGTGGCAGTGTTCTCCTGCCCTCCCTGCATCCTCAGCAAGGGCTCCAAAACGAAGCCCAAGACCCGCCGCGGGAAGATGTGCCAGAGGCGCGTTCAGGGCTCGCCCGAAGAGGAGCTTGGTGAGGAGAGCGCAGACGGAGGAGCGTCCATGCCCAACACGGCCGGCGGAGAGTACATGGATTGAGACCGATTGAGTAGGGATCCTGCGCATCTGTATGTCTGTTTGATCTGGCTGTATAGGAGCCATATTTGAGCCATGACCGTGCCACGTTTATAATTCATAATATGCATCTGCGGTGAGGTGGTCCAAGGTGTTCAGTGCACGGATGCCTGCCAGTGCCTTACGCTGCTTGGGCTCCTTACCGAAGCCGCTGGAGTGCAGTGCACGCGGCCCCACAGCAACGTCCACAACATTTGAGTGTATTGTATCTGCATATACATGATATAGATAGATCATAGATAGATAGATAGATAGTGACAGGTTTGCAGAGGTACCGGATCTCATGTCCTTCCTGTGCCAGCAATTATGCAGGGTGCGGTCGATCTCAGCGGGGTGGGCAGTGCCAGCACGAAGGCTGCATTTGCGAATATTGGTGCGTCTTCCTTGGCCGGTGGCTCGCAATTTTGTATCTTGCGCAAACGACCGCCAGCTCCTTACCGCGAGAAGCTTCTGCGTGCTTGCGCTTGAAACGGTCGGCCTGGGCGGAGCTTGTTCCACCAGATTCAAAGGGTAGCTATGCACATAGCCAGGATACTGTCATGAGTTCTGAGTGACCATGCAGTCCCAACCCTACGCATCACAATGCGCGCCCAATCGCTGGTCGGCACAGCCTCGGAAGTATAGCATAGATCAGAGGTCTATCTAGGAGCGAGAGCAGGGCCTGAGTTCTGGTGAGTCTTCAGGTGGAGAATGCCCGAACCCTGCGAGCCCTCTAGACGGCCCCTCAGTCTTCACGCACTCAGCGCTCTTCCTGCGCATACAGCTGATGGCAGGTGATCTCGCCTCGCAGCGACATCTCGGCGAGGAGGGGTGCCAAGAATGCCTGGAGCCTAAGGATGCAGATGCTGGCCGGGGGCTTTGGTGTTAGGAGTGATAGAGTTCAGGGGTGTTCAGGGTGTAAGCCCATAGGGCAATCGATTACCCTATTTCTGCCGCCACTTTGCCCGCAAAAGGTTTGAAGAGCAGTAGGTGAGGGAGCAAGCTTCAGCGATCGTCAGGTTCTATGTAGATAGGTTCAGGGTGCTTAGGGGGTTTGGGGGGGTTTTAGGCTCTATGGCTTTCAGGCTGCTTCGGGTTTAGATGGCTTTCTAGTTACTGGCAGGTTTTCGTGCGTTTGATCGGGCTGTGGGTTCGGGACTTGGGGGTTTGTGGGGCATGTTGGGCTTAAGGGGATTTTTTTTTTTTGCTTTTTGGGTTTGGAGTGCATAGGCTCAGCAAATCAACTTCTGAGTCGAGGTTAAGTGGCTCAACTTCCAAAAAACTACGAGGGGTCCCATCTTCTGAGGGGGGTAATTCTGCTCTACTTGAGGAGACACTGCAATCAAGGGAGACTGAAGTTCTGGGAAACTCCCATTAGTTCTAGAAAGGCGGAAGGAACCCTAAAGGGTATTGTGGTTGAGATACCATTTCTAGGAATTATAGTAGTATAGGGTATATATATATATACCCTGTACTACTATAATATGTGACCCCAACTTTTCGGTTTCATTTCGTCCCCAAGGATAGGAGTCCAAGTCCAAGGCACTGGCAAAACCCTGGCCTCAGCGCGCCTCTTGCGTGAAAGAGGTGCCCATTTGATGAGCAGAGGTCTCTACATTTGTGGGCCTTTTTTTAGTTTTCTACAGCTACCAATGTACTACGAAGCCTTGATATAAATCAGGACCCCCCCCCCCCCCCCGCCCCAACCTTCCCGAAAAAGCAAGCTGAGGGAGTGGAGCTAGGGAGTTCTGGAATGTTTTGGGGGCCTTTAGGGAGCTATGAGTGAGGGAATGGATCTGAGTCCCAGAATGCTCTTGGCTCCTTTAGGGAGCTTTTTTGGGGTTGAGGGTGTTGGGTTGGCCATCGAGAGCTGCCATGTTCAAGCACTTTTGACTCTTTCCGCCTTCGGCCCCTTTGACCGCAAGGCTCGAGCGACGGTGAGAGGCGAGTTCGGCCAGCGTGACCGCCTAAGACTCCTAAGCCCTGAGCGCCAGAAAAGCCCCGACCTTTGAAGCTGTACATGACTCCCTAAACCCTAAACCCTCCCAAATGAGCCTGTTTGTCCGACTTCAGAGCCCCCTCTGTAAGCCCCAAAACGACGCCGGAGCATCGCGCGAACCCCGAAGAGGTTCCCCAAACTTGAGGCACTCTGAAAACCATAAAGAATGCCGACAAGCCCCTAGATACCTTACATAAATCCCCAAAAAAGGCCCAGAGGTTGCGCATGTCGGGAAGGACGAGCCTGCACTTTCCATCTGAGACCTGCCCAATTTAAGGGCCGATAGACGTAAGCCCCACAAACCCTGAAAGCCCTTAAAGCCCGAAACCCTGAACCAGAAACCCTAAGCTTCGTCGAAACGGAGCCTTTTTTCGGCTCCTAAACCCTATAAACCCTACACCCTAAATCCTAAACCCCAAACCCTAAACCCTAAACCCTATAAACCCTAAACAAACCCTTTCTCGGCTCCAAAGGTTCCCTGAGCCGCCGTTGCCACTTCCGTGAGCTGGCGGGAGGCTCCGGCCTTAGTTGAGGGCTGCTGGAAGGCAAAGAGGCGTTTTAGGGTTGCAGGAGGGTTGTAGGGTTTAGGGTTATATATATACATATATATGTGCTTTTTTGGATTATGGTTTTAGGGCTTGTGGCTTTTCGGGTTTAGGGATGCTTTAGGCCTTAGAGGGACTGAGTTGAGGGCTTTAGGGTGGCGATGATGCTCGTTCAGTCTCACACAAACCAGGTTTGGAGGCATCGAAGCATTGGTCGGCTTTAGGGTCTATGGCGTTTGGGTTTAGGGTTTAGGGTTTAGTGTTTAGGGTTTCTATAGTTGTTGCTTGCCGCGTGTTGCTTGTTGGGGGGTTTTGCGGGGTGCTGGATTGAACCTCATATTCAAGCACTTTGACTCTTTCCGTCTTCGGCCCTGCAGAAAACTGTCCTTGATAGGGTACATGAATGACCACGCAACGAACGCTTTGTATTTGAGAGCAATGCGCAAGGCTCGAGACTCGAGAGGGTGAGAGGCTGTTTTTGTTATTGATCCGGGCGCAGGCTGAAAAAGACGAGGCATCGAATCGAACGGCTTGGTTTCGGTTGATAAGGCTTAGGAGACTTCTGAGGGTGCGTGTGATGTCTCCACCAGAATCGGATCTCAGGGTTTGGAGTTGGCCAGGGTTAGGATTCTCCCTTTTGAGGCCTAAACCCTAAACCCCAAACCCCAAACCCCAAACCCCAAACCCCAAACCCTAAACCCTAAACCCTAAACCCTAAACCCTAAACCCTAAACCCTAAACCCTAAACCCTAAACCCTAAACCCTAAACCCTATAAACCCTAAACCCTAAACGGCAAGCTCGAGCTGGGCCTAACATCGCCCTGAACAGTGCGCGAGGCGGTGCCCAAGTCCCCATGGTGTTCCTCCACATCGTCCTGTCAGAGGATGGCCGCAGCAATAGGCTGGGACTTTACAGAGAGCACCTGAGCGGAAAGACGACTTGGGAGGAGCGGCTGGGCGAGCTGCTCTGGCAGCACGGGCAGAAAGAAGTGACCCGGTACTACATCGACTTCTTTTCGGACTCCGGCCTCAATAGAGAGGCTCGGAGGGGTCAGCCGTGGTTGTGGGAGTATGGGTTGCCGGTGGCTTGGTCGGCAGCTTTTCGCGGGCAACTGGTTCTGGCAGCTGACCACAGTCCCAACCGGCTGGCCCCTGGAGACCGTCCTCGACGCCTTGGTGCACTTGACGGGCTACAACCCTGCGCAGTGCGCGCAGGCGTCGCTGACGCAGCGACTGCGGGAGCTCTGGGCCGCGTGGGAATCGGAGCTAGTTCGACATCGAACGGATCGGACTTGGAGGCTTTCACCGGAGTGGGAGGCTCGTCTCCGTGCCCGCTGCTCGGAGCTTGCTGGGCAGCTGGCGCTGGCCGAGGAGAACGCAATGCTCTGCCCCAAAGGCTGCACTTGGCTCTGCCAGCTGAGCACGGTTCCGGGCGGCTGGTCTCTGCAGGACGTCATGGACACCTTCTCGCACTTGGCTTGCGACAACTCCGATCATGCCGACGTAGAGCGCGGTTTCGCAGCGGTGAAGGCACGGCTGGTGGAGCTCTGGGCGAAAGGTCACCTGGCCGGGAAGGAAGAAACCTTTGAGGCGCGGCTGTTGCTGGCCGAGCTGCTGCAGGAGCGATACAAAGCGCACGTGGCCGGGCAGGAGATTTACGAGGCGCTGCTCGCCGAGCTACTGCTCGTGTACGGGCGGAGCGAGGTGAGCCGGAGCCCGGGGCTGTGTCTGCTTCTTCTCGGAGTCGGGTCTTGTGCGAGAGGCTCGGACTCGGTCGCTTTCGCCTGAGTGGGAGTCCCGTCTCCGCGATCGCTGCTCGGAGCTCGCCAAGCAGCTGGCTGCAGCCGACGACCACTCATTTGACCAGTCATTCTCGGTAGAGGTCAAGAATGATGTGGGCACGACCGTCGAACTGCAGCTTGGCGACGGGTTGTGGATCGTCCTTGACCCAGGCCGCTCGCGCACCATCTTTCATCCTGCTTCTTCTGCTTCCTCATCCACGCAGAGAGCTCTCCGGCTCAGACTCAGAGAGGAGCTCAGGCTCCAGGGCCAGCGCACGGCCCATGCGGGCGAGCTCCTGATGGCCTATGGATTTCGGTTACGGCTTCAGCCAGGCGGTGAGCGCCTTTGTTGCCCGAGAGCAGGCTGAGCTCCGGCGGGAGGTACTGCAGAGGCATGCGAGGAGGGCGGAGATGGAGCGGGCAGCGGAGAAGCGAGCCGGGGAACTCGGCGATGTGAGGAGGCTGAGTGCTACTTCTGTGCAACTGTGCAACTTCTTCATGCCCGTCTTTGGCCCTACATTGCCCTTGCTGCTGCTCTGCGCCGCCATGCCCACGGAGGATCCGCGCTGGGAGGCCTGGGTGCTCGCCGGCGCCGCGCTCCCTCTCGGCTGCTGCTTGGTCAGCCACCTCAGCCACCATGCATTTTCAAAAGATTCTGATGTTTCACTCCGCGACTACCTCATCCTTTTCTCCCCTTTTTGCTTCACCGCAGCTCTGGCGCTGGGGGCCGCCCTGGTGTCGGACCCGGGCTGGCGGGCTGGACTCCTGGGGATCTGCACGCTGGTCCCCTTCAGCCTGCTCACGTACTTCGTCTTGGGTTTTGTACACCAGGCCACTGGCAGCCAAGGTGGCCACAGCTTCGGTGACGACGCAAAGTGGCTGCGCCTGCTCGCCTTGACGTTTTGGCTCGTGGCCGTCGCTGCCCTGGCGGTCCTGACCGTGCGGCACGGCCTCCAGGGCTTCTGGTGGACAGCGCTGGTCGTGTGGCCGCCCGTGGCGTGCTTCACAGGAGGCCGACTCTTCCGCATCAGGTCAGATGCCAGAGCTAGCCAGCATCACTTGAAGTCTTCACTGGAAGCAGAGAGGGAACGTGAGCGGGCACAGCGGGAGGTCCGAGAGCGGACCATCGTCTTTCACGGTGCCGTGCTTGACAGGCCCGGAAAGGCCTGCATAGCCTCTTGGCCAGGCAAATACGCCACAGCCTGGGACACACTTGTCAGATCCGCCAGAGACGGGGAGGTCAGTGCCACTGTAGTTTTTCTACCCGAAGGCACTGCCGCCTATGGCTTGCACGTCTATTTCAAGGACCTTGCCGGCAAAGGCCACGTGGAAAGCTTCCTCACTGCTGGCACGGAGCACCTGCGCAGAGAGAGGATATACAGCAGGAAGAGGCAGTACGAAGCGTCGGCGGAGTTTCAGTTTTGGCTGGAGGCCGGCCTGAAAGACTTGTCCAAAGAGCCGGGAGAAGACGGCACGTCACCGTCTCTTCCTGCACTCTCTGCCAGCTGAAGATCGGGCCTTTCTCCAGGCATCAGAAGGGCTTGGAAACTCCCAGAAGGCTGAAGCTTGGATTGTGCAAGTCAGAACCCTTTTCGTTTGTCTTCTTGGATAGACATACACTTTTTTTTTGAATTTCATTGAAATATAGAATGTGAGTGAATGTCATACCCATCTTCCCCAAATACTTCCCCAAGCAGAAGGGCATCGTTGGCTGTATAGCTTTTTTGAGGAGGTCGCGTGGCTGCAGCGGAGGGGCTACGACTTCAACATGGTGGACATCAGCAGGTGGCTGCAGTCTGAGCCCACAGAAAGTGAGTTGAATCTGGAGGTCGGGTTAGAGCCATCGCCCAAGGTGTATGGCCAGCAAGATGTTGCGCCCGTGCGGCACATCCACCACCTCTAGAAAGCCACCTTGGGGGACACCTAGTGAGTCCCAGTAAACTACGGAATCCCCATGCCCTTAAGGGATGAAGCCCTACTCCCCCCAGGCGCTGCTCGGGGCCTCGGAGGTCTTTGCGATAGCCGGTCATAAGAATAGCACGCCCGGTGAGGGATTGGGCCCACTCAGAAACTTTTCCCTTCTGAACCAAAAGTTCTTAACCCCTCAAAGCCCCTGAGCGCTAACATCGCTAAGCCCTCAATAAACACAGCTCCGAGCGGCACAGACGTCCCGCGCGAGGCTCTTGTCGCCAGCTGGCCCGCAAAGTTTTGAAGACCAGGCCAGGGAACAAGGCTTCCGGGCCGACAGGGTTTGGGGTTGCAGGGCTTTAGAGGTTTTCACGGCTTAGGCTTTTAGAGCTTCATGCCTTTGGGATCTTATAGGGGTTAAGGGTTAGGGCTCCCGCACTTTATCGGGTGTTGGGTTCCGGGCTTTTAGGGGGTTTTGTGAGGGATTAGGGCGGTTTAGGGCTTGTGGCCCTGGGCGCCGCCAACATGTATTCCCAAGGGCCAAAGAGGGTATAAAGGGGAGCCACTTTGCAAGTTCTTTCGGGTTCCCATCTATAGATTCATTAACCAAAAAGGCTGAGCGGCAGGGAGGGGTGTTGAAAGCGGCTGCTGTTGGGTTGCGGATATGCTCTAGGAGGCCACATACGTTCAGGCCTTCTTGCACTTCGACGAAGCCTTAAATACCCCAAGCCTCGCAGCAATTCCGAAGTACAGCGCCCCGCTGCCCCCAATACATGCCTCAGGCACCCGGGGCCCCTACGCCTTTCAGAAGAAGAAGAACCCCTCGTGAACTGGGCCATTAAAGTTCCAACGCTGAACAAAGGCGACTTCGCCCCGCCCCATCCATCATCCCTCAAGTCGCGCGAAAGCGCCCTAACGCCTTGAACCCTTACTTTGAAATCTAGAGGACGACAATGTTGGGCCACCCGGGGGCTTTTGAATCCCTCCAAGGGGCTAGTTTTCCTGCGCCTGTCCTTAATGCAAAGCGCTGAGCTGCATCGTAGCTCCCGGCTTGCAGTTGTAAAGTCGTTGTCATGATGATTCTTTTCCGAGTCTTCTTCCTCGAGTTGCTATCATCGAAGATTCCCTTCACTATAGCTCAATACCCTAAACCCTAAAACCCCTAAATTCTCAAAACCAATACAGCTCAAAGGTTTTTTGTTGTTATCACCTCATGCGCAGGTCCCCTCAAGCCGGACTCGGCCTCTCAGCTGCGAGCTGGAGGCTTATAGCGGGCTTGGGCTGGCAAAGAAAGGACAATTGTCGGTAGCTTTAGAGGTTAGGGTTTAGGGTTTAGGGTTTAGGGTTTAGGGTTTAGGGTTTAGGCTTTTGCTGCAAGGCATAGGCGGGTTTTTGGCTTCTTTTATTTGTAGGGTCGCTGAAAGTTTGAGGCCAAGTACAGGCCTCGAAGGTTTCGGGCTGCGCCCCAAGCCCAGTCTTCTGTTTGAGGACTTCAAGGCTTTCTAAGGTTTATACAGGCTACATAAGATGCAGTGTTGGTAAGGGTTTGGGATGCAAAGGGCCGCTAGTCCTCTGCAATCGAGAGCCCCAAAGGCCCCTCAGCACCCTTCAACTCCAACTGTGACTTTGCTGGTTCTTTCAATGGCATGTTGGCCAACATATACATGTTCCCAAGACTTGGGAGCATCCTTATATTTTCCCTAGAAAGAGCGAACAAATTTTCCAAGAAGCGCCTTAAACGCAACCCCCAACTACGAATGCGGACGCCCTTCATCCCAATTCACACCCAACCCGAAACCCTCAGCAATCAAAGCCGAAGCGCCTTGGGCTGTTCAACTTCGAAACCCTCAGCCCCAAACCCCTGTAATTAGGCTCCCGCTCGCTCTCTCTCTCTCTCTCTCTCTCTCTATTCCTTTCTTTCTTTCCCTGTCTCTTTCTGTCAGGTTCCCATGTTTGGTAGCGCAGTCCACTCTTCAGACCTTGGGGAGGGTTCTTCAATCCTCCCAAAAAAGTTAGTCCCGCAAGGCCATCCTGCAACACTGCAACTCCTCTGGCGGCCTCTCCGGCGCAAGCACCGTGAGGCTCGGGGTTTGAGAGGGTTGCTTTCACAGAAGTGCCTGCTTGGGCCATCCCTGTCGAGTGTGTGAGGGGGGGCTCCTTGAGAATGCGCCAGCCTGCCTTTTTCAAGGGTATCAGGCCAGCTCCCGTAAGGAGACGTCCGCGAGATGGGGCGTTAGAGGGTTTCGGAGTTTATTCTTTTGAAGTGCCGAGACTGACCATGGTAGCATGGTAGGATGGCCGGAGGCCCGACTCGGGCGACCTACTCATAAGAAAGTCGGGCGCTTCTCTTTCGCTGCTTATTCCCCACCTTCGGTGTGGGGTTCTTAGATTGCAAACTCAACTCTTCTCCTCGGCCGGAGCTCTTCTCCTCGCCCGGTCTACTCCTAACCCCAGAGTCCCTGGAGTGCCCAACCGCAAGAGATTCCCTGGAGTGCCCAAACCTGGAGTGCCCAACCCCCAAAGTCTCCCCTGCAGTGCCCAACCCCAGAGACTCCTTGAAATGCCCAACCCCAATCCAAATCCCTAAGGTGGGGATGTTCGAAGTACAATAATTTTATACCTCATATGTCACATTTGATAGGGTGTTTGCGTACACCGATTTGGGAGATGACGAGAGATGCCGAGTGAAGGCCCTCTGGAAAGGGGCCCCTTTCAAAGGGCACACAGCGCTCCAATACCTCCAATGACATACTCGTGCAGATGACGAGTGCAATAGTTGGATTTTGCCATATTTTGCCCATACACCGCAGAAGTGCCAAAATTATGCAATGATAAAGCCTTGAGGATGGTGGGGGAGCTGATGCGGACTTGGCCAGATGCTCGGGAGGCGCTGCGTGCCAAGTCATGCCAAGTCCCAGGCGCAGTCGAATTCCACACTCTTCTTAAATACCTTCGTAGCTTTGGTTTCCGTATTTGCCTACAACATGAAGAGCACGCTTTGCTTGATCGATTGCCAACCCTCAGCCCTGTATTTAGGGACCTTGAGCCAAGCAGCCGCTTTTCAGAGGATCTTGGGAGCTTGTGGGGGAGATCCCGTGGAGTCGCCGGGCGCAGCAAGGCATGCAGCATGACCTTGCTTCTTGAAGTTCGGAGCTGCGTTGGTTGAAATATACCTCCTTTGCTCTCTGCCGCTTTGAACTACATTTGCACAGGTTTCACAGATGTGTGCGCGAAGTTTGGAGTCTCAGGGCTGTGGAGGGCCTCTGTTGCATGAGAGTCTCACCAAAGAGAGGCACGCTAACAGGAGCTTTTTGCCAGTGCGCATGCGCGAGCCCGGCTCAGAGACAGGAATTTCCAGGAGAGAGCCCGCCCGCTGCCCACACTTAAAAGGTGCTCCTTTTTCGTTCTCAAGATCGCCACATGCCGAAGCTCTGGGAGCTGACCGCGGCCCCGGCCGGCTGGCCCCTGAAAACCGTCCTCGACGCCTTCGTGCACTTGGTGAGGCTCAACCCTAATCACCTCGGTGTGCAGCGCGCCGATGCGCAGCGCGCCCAAGAGGCGCTGGCGGCGCGGCTGGTGGAGCTCTGGGCCGCGCGGCCGGCGGAGGCGGCGGCCTGGCGCGGTCTGAACGAGGACCGCTCCCAGGAGCGGCTCGCCGAGCTGCTCGTCCAGCACGGGCGGAGCGAGGTGAGCCGGTGGAGGGTCATCTCCTTCTCGGAGGCGGGGCTGAAGCGAGAGGCTGTGAGTTGGACGCCTCCGCCGGAGTGGTGGGAGGCTCGTCTCCGCCCTCGCTGCTCGGAGCTCGCTGGGCGGCTGGCAGCGGCCGAGGCGGAGGCCGAGGAGACGGCGCGGAAGCGGCAGAAAGTGGAGGAGAAGGAGGCGCAGCTGCGGGAGGAGCGCGCCAAGTGCCGAGAGCTCTCAGACCGCCTAGCCGCGGCAGAAGAACGGGCAGCACAGCTCCAGGCAGCACATGACGAGCGCGGCCGGCTCGCAGATCGCCTGGCTGAGTCAGAGGCATCGGCCGCAAAGGCAGCCGAGCGGGAAAGCGAGCTCGGCAAGTCGAAGCAGCGCTGCCGACAGCTGGAGCGTCGCCTGGCGGCGGAAGAGCGCTGCCAGCAGCTGTACCGCCAGCTGTTGGAGGCAAAGGAGGAGGCCCTGCGGCTGAACGCTGGACCGGTGCTCTGCGATGGCCCTGCGTCGCTGGGACGCGGCGTGGCGGAAGAGGACGTCGCCTCATCGATCCTGAGCCGCTCCTCCTGGTTCTCCGTGAAGCCGGACTGCTTCATGCCGGACGCAATCTTCAAGACCCGGAGCTACGGCACCGACTTCTTCCTGATGGGCCGGGACCTCCAGAAAGGGTCGCGGGTGGTGGCCGGGGATGACACCAGTCTCTTGAAGGTTGTGGAGGTGAAGAAAGACCGAGCCACCGAAGTCGTCAACTTGCAGGCTGGGGCAGCGTTGCTGCGGGTGACCTCGAACCATCTGGTCCAGACCCACCATGTCGAGGGTTCGGGCTACGTGGAAGCAGGCGACTTGAAGGCAGGCGACCTGGTGATGATGGATTCTGGCGAGCCCACGCCTCTGACAAAGGTCGACGTCCAGCACAAGCCGTGCGAGGTGCTGAAGATCGTGTTCGAGCCCGACTTGCCCATCGCCGTCTTCTCTTGCCCACCCTGCATCCTCAGCAAGGGCCAGAAGAGGAAGGCGCCAACTCGCCGCGGTGGGATGTGGCAGCGGGGCGCACGACAGGCCGACCAGACGGCAGATGGACGTTTCTCCATTCCCAACACAGCTGGCAACACGTACTGAGTGACGCCATTGTATAGAGATCCATGGGAAGCTTGTGAGCCATAGAGTCATATAGAGAGCCCCGCAGCTTCATTCGCAGATCTCTGGCCAACGCTGTCAAGACGCTTAGTGCACGGCTGCCCCGCCAGTGCCTGACGCTTCTTGGTTTGTCGCCAGGGTCGCTGGAGTGCCGTGCACGCGGCCCTATGATGTTAATATAACGGTCCACTTCAGTCGAAAGCGGATCTGGCACATACAGGATCTGGGATGTGTTTCTTCTCCAGGGCGCGCAGTGCCAGCATGAAGGCTTGTAAGTTTCTTCCCTGCTGCTCAGGGGCTCGCAATTTTGAAGCTTGCGCTGGAGACCGCAGGCAGCTCGCAGGCGTGGCAGTGCCTGTACTTCGCCGCGCTCGCAGCGTTCCCAGAAAGCTCCGGAGCAGATGCAGCAGCCTGCCCAGGGCAGCACAAAGCAATAGCACCCTAAACATGCCCCCTGCCAAATCAAGCCATACCTATAGATCCTCAACCTTACACGCCCTAGAAAGCCCACATCCCCTAAACCCTGTAAGCCTTATATACTTGTAACTCCCAAATACCAAGTCCCCGACCTTAAGCCTATAGCAAAACCTGAAGAACCCCAAATACTAAATCGAAACCCACAAGCCCAAGCCCCAAACCCTAAACCTACAAACCGTACACCTCAACTCCCCTTTGTTGCAGGAGCCTCCCACAAGAAGCCTGGGGCCTGAATTGGCCACGTCATCGCCCCAGTCCCCCAAAGGCGCCATTTGGGGTTTAGGGTTCATGGGGGTTTTTGTTGGAGTTCAGCTTTCTAAGGAGTGTACTTGTAGGGTCTCAGGGACTTTCGGGGTTTTGGAAGTCTAGGGCTTATAAGTATTAGGGTTTAGCGGTTATGGCTTGACGTCTGGGTTGAAGTGATTGGTAAGGGACTCTATGCTTTCAAGTTTATAGATCTTGTATAGGGAGGAATAGGGGAGAGCTTGGGGTCGATGGAGGTGACTTGAGATAGAAGTAGCACAGTCACCCATGGTGGGAACTCACCGACGTGGAGTGCCCACAAGCATCGATTCCTGCAGAGCATCCCGCGGAGCATCGAAATCCCGATAGTGCCCACACCCTAAACCCTAAACCCTAAACCCTAAACCCTAAACCCTAAACCTCTCAACCCTATAAACCGTATGAAATGAAACCCCATAAACCCTGGAACCCTATGTTAGGGAGTACAGGGGTGTAGCCTTGGGGCGTAGGGCTAGGGGTGTGCCGTAGGAGCCCCGAGCCTCTTTTTTGGTGTCTTACGAGCACGCTTATGAAGAAGCAATGTGTATACATGTATAGAGAAGAAATATATGTATAAATATGGAAAATTGGATAAAGCCGATAAATAAAAATAAAAGATTAATAAAATATAAATACATATATATATATAACTATGTAGGCTTCCGAAGGAAGCTGCAAAATGCAGGTTTTGGGCTCTTACGAGTTCAAGTTGTGGTGGGTAGAGGCTTTCCCGAAAGCCTTCAACCGCGAGCCTCCAACGCGTGAAGCCCAAAACTCGAACCGGTGTGGGGTTTAAGGTTTAGGTTTAGGGTTTAGGGTTGAGGTTCCTAAGCCCATTTAGGGTTTACGGGGTTTAGGGTTCAGGGCTTGAGGTTTAAGACTCATCGGTTGAGGTTTGTGGTACACCCCCCCACCCCCTCCTACCTTTCCAAAAGCGCAGCTTGCGTCAGCCTAACAAGGATACTTTGGATTACGCCCTCGTCAGCCATACTTTGGGGTTTCCTTGGTGTGGAATTGCATTCGCTCCCCAAGTCCCTCGCTTGAACTTGCGGAGTCGGTTTAGGGTTTAGGGCTTGGGGTTTAGGGTTTAGGGTTTAGGGCTTAGGGTTTAGGGTTTAGGGTTTAGGGTTCATATAGGGTTTAGGGTTGATAGGGAGCTCATCAGGCCATCCCGATCAACTTCGCCCCCTAGCCGGGAGCCACAGTTGGTTCTTGAGGGGTGAAGCTGTATTTCTGACTGCGAATATTCTCTTGTGATCTGCACGCCTCCCGTAGTTACAGCAGAATGGAGGCCGGGAGACAAGTTGCTATCCTCAGTCTGCTCAAAAGGCATGTCGCAACACAACATACCAGACTGCTCCAAATGCAATGCTGCGGGGCCACTCCCGCACCTCTCGGCGATACACGACGGAGGAGGCCGTGGCCTTGCACGAGTCGGTTCCTCCGGATCGCTGGTGCGTGACGTACGCCGTACGCAGACCTGAAGTACCTGAAGCAGGAGGTGCGCAGGGCCGTTTCTGATGGCGAGCTGAGCCCCTCTGACGAGGTTCATGGGCCCAGCATCTACCTTGTCAACGAGAAGCACATCATGCCGGTGACGGAGCAGGCCGGCAAGGTGCGCTGGGCCTTGATGAGGCACCCGGGAGGCCTGGACTGCGACAGTCCCCTGGCAATTCGCCATTTTTGCGCTGGCTCTGCAAGCCTCCACTTACGTCCTTGTTGTTCCAAATCGTGAATGCAGCGTATACACGAGGCTCTGGTGTTGTTATGAGGCATACTGCGCCCATGAGACAGGAAAGACGATTCTCATTGCCAGGCGCTCGAACAGAAAGGAGATGGGCACAGCTTTGTTCCGGACACTTCTGCTTGGAGTGTCAGGTGTGATTATTGCATTGGCTCTAGAGCTATGGGCGCGAACTGCTCTGGGCACTGACGCCCACCACGTTATCAGTCTTGTGGCGTTATGTCTCGCGGTAGCCAGTGCTCTGGCTAGCACGACTTTTCAACACAATGGGTGCCGAGTTGTATTGAACGGGATTGGAGCATTAGCTGCTGACAGTGCAATGGCACGTCGTCCACGGCTTCCTGGACCTTCCAGGATTCGAAGCGAGCAATGCAGCACTCGTAGAGCAATGGGTGCTTCTGATTTTCTTCGTAGTCTTCTGCTGCTTGATGGCGGTGGACCGTGTCAACAGCCTCTCCAGGGCGGAGGAAGCCCTGCAGCTCCAGCGAGGGTTCCGGGGTTCAATTGCTCACGCAACCTGCTCCAGGGCCGAGGATGCCGCGCGGATTCATGCGGAGATCGGGGCCAACACGGAAGCCGTGGACTACGCCATCCGAGTCCTCCTGGCCGCTGGGATGTCAACGCCGACCCTGAGACAGGTCGCCCGTGCGGGGGTTGGGATTCAGGAGGCCGGGCACGAAGAGATATCCGTGCCCGTCCTAGCACTAGTTCCGTTTGGTCTGATCGCGGCGCTGCGCCTTCTCGACGACATTGTGTGTCCGCACCCCTGGGTTCATGTGGTGATTCAGAGCCTCCCTGTTGCGTGCAGGGTCCTGCTCGCCATCGTGATCTACCGAAGCTCCAGGGACGAGCGATGCTTCATCATGAAGTTGATGACCAGGCTCCTTGCTGTGTACATCCTCGTCAGCTTCCCGATCCTGGTGTTCTAGGAGTGGAAGCGCCACTTTGAAGACACGCCACAAGAAGCGCGGGCCGGAGCTGCCTTCTTCGTGACCACCAGCAGCTTCTCCCTCCTGGGCATGAACGGCACCCTAGCTCTCCCCTGTTCCTGGGACCCTCTCTACCTACAGTTTTATGGGGTTCTACCTATACTCATTAAAAGAGTAGTTGCTACTAAACTCTACGTACATAGTGTCCCAGGTTGTGGGCCATACCTCCTGCAGCTCTTTCTGGGTCGGGGCCTGCACGCGCTGTGCCTACACTCAGATTCACTGCAGGAGGCCAAGCCTGAGACCGATTCCGCGAGCTCTGCAAGCTGCTCACCAGGCAAAGAGGCCCATGTGCACAAGCCCATGAAAAAGGTGATGTACGGGACCCGAACATAGCCCTCAAAGGGTAGGATTCGCTCATGCAAGGTACCCCTAAACCCTGAACCCTTTTTCCTATAAACTCAAAACCCAAAAAACCCAACACCCTAAACCCGAGATCCTAAACCCCAAAGCCTTCCTTCTAAGTGAAAGCCCGCAAGTCCTGATCGGTCGCTTCCGGCCGGCCTGCCTTAAGAACCCCAAAACCTACCTACTTGTTTGTAGGTTCTTCACTAAATGCTAAACCCTAAACCCTAAACCCTAAACCCTGAACCCTAAACCCTAAACCCTAAACCCTAAGCCCCTTATTGAGTTCTTGGGTAACCTGCAAAGAAGTAGGTTTTGGGTTCTTAAGGTGGGGGTTGGGATTCCAAGTTCGGGCCACTGCTCCAGAGTGAGTACTATTTAGGGTTTGGGGGTCAGGGTTTAGGGCTTGGGGCTTAGGGCTTAGGGCTTAGGGCTTAGGGCTTAGGCTTAGGGCATGAGGAGTTTCGGGATTTTCTGGGTTTAGTGCTTTGGGTTCAGGGTTTGGGGTTTTGGGTTCAGGGTTTCACGGTTTGGGTTCAGGGTTCAGGGCTGAGGGCTCATTCTGAGCCACTCTGGTTGTGGTTGCTAATTAAGCCGCTCATGTACATCATCTTCAGCTTGAGCTGGGTATTCTCTTTTCCGGGACCAAATCCGGAGACCAGAATCCTTGAACCCGAAACCCTGCTGAATGAAGCCCCAAGCCCTGAGCCACGAGCCCAGGCGGACAACATATAGGCTAGGGCAATCTCATCTGCGAACCCCTTACTGAAAACCTTATTACTGTTTGGGGTTAAGGCTCTAAAATCTAAGCCGCCCAAGCCCTGAAAGATAAAATTGTAAACCCTGAACCCCAAACCCTAAACCCCCAAACCCTGCATACGAACCCCATACCTGAACCCATGTAGGCCTTATTCTGAACTATTTATACACAAGTAGGTTTAAGGGTTCCTCAGGTAGAGTCGGTCCCCTTCACTACAAACCCTACAGGCACTGTCCGCCTTGCAAGCCTGCAGAAGCCCTACAGAAGCCCTACAAAAGCCCTATCAACCCCATAAGAGCCCTAAACATTCCAGCGGGGGGGAGACGGGAGCTGCCTACATGATCCCTAGAAAAACACTATCAGGGCTCCCCTAAACCGGATCCCT